GGACTGAGAAAAGTAAAGTGCAAAACATTCCTTTCAGTTGGTAGCACAGAATCCAGTACACATTACTGTGGCCAGCAGTTATTAGGAACTCAACAAATATTCTTCCATGAAAGTGAATGAACTAACCTATCCTCAAGGTGTTTAAAACATGGACACAGAGATGGATCTCTTTTCCATTGGAAATAAGGAAAAAATAACACCCAATGAGGCAGCTAACTTTAGGGATTGCCTCACTCCCCTCCATCATGTCCACCTTACAACAGAATGTAGTAATGGCTCCCCAGGGTACAGAGCTTTGAAACAACTAATAGCCAAGCAAGTAACACAGAGAAGGGTCAGGGGCCTAGTTTGCTGGACCAGGTTCCTATTGTCAAGAGGTGGGTAGCTTTGCTTCTGGGCCTCAGCATCTGCCAATGCTGTTAGGATGAAACATGGGTCTCTCTGGGCTCCAGACCCTGGTATCTTAGGCAAGGCTCTTGAAAGTCAGAGGTTGGAGACAAATATGAGGGTTGAAACTGAAGTTTCTAGGGAGGTGGTGTCAAGAGTCAGGAAATGCTCTAGGTCAGGTGAATATGTTTTTGCAAGAGAGCTGAGTTTTAATAAGGAACTTAAAGGCCAAGAACTTGTGTGTTCTCCAGTTTCATCTCCACCTGTAACTGTGCGGAAGGATCCCCTAAAATATATTTGCTGGGTTTCAGGGAGAGTTTTATGGTAGGGTTGACACAATCATTCTTTCTTCTCATTCTGAGGAGGTTGCCTGGGAGGCTGATGGCACTCACCAGGGGTAAGCCCCAAGGAGGAGCAAGGGGGCCAGAGTACCTACCCACCCAAAGTTAGTTGGTTATTGGTGTGTGTATGTCTGATGCTCTCCCAACACTTTTTCACATGTATGTGTGGTATGCATGTGCATATGGAGGGCAGAGATTGACATCATGTGTTTTCCTCTGTTACTCCCCACCTTATATCTACCTGGCATTTACATGGATGCTAGGAATCTGAACCCCAGGCCTCGTTCTTGCACGGTAAGTGCTCCACTAGTTGAGGTATCTCCCTAGCATCTCCTCTAAAAGATTTCTATTCTGTCTCTTGTACTAGTTGAGCCAACACTCCTGCAGCCAGAGGAAGGCTCCAGGTGCTTATAGATGCCATCAGCATGCACATCAAGACTGTGATTTTAGTGACTATTGACAGCATCACGGATACTTCATGGGAGTAGCATGTACTTATTGAACCCTGGGAAGGGGGATTCCAGATCCTTGTTTTCAATCCCAGGCTTGGTGGGTCACTTTCTGCCTATGTTTTCAAGTCTGGTAGGAAATTTTACATACTCAGCTATCAGACTTCTTGCAATGGTCTCAAAGCAGACCTAGTGGCCACATATTAATCTCTCTACCACTTGCATTCTTAAGCTAGAAGACAGAACGTGTGAATAAACAAGTCAGGCAAAACAGTATCCTTGTAGATAGGTAGCAAGATTCACTGGACTCTGGGGATCCATGGCCCAGGAAGGCTAGGCAGGATGGATGGAGTCCCATTTATGTGTGTTCCACTTCATACAATTGAGTGTCACCCACCCCCAAACTCTCTTCTCTGAGGTTTCACGCCTGGGGTAGCCCTTGGAATGCAGAGCTTAAGTACCACAAGACATCCCATTGCAGAGGAGACATCTTCTCCTAGGGTGCCACATCCTTGGTAACTTTCTTCAGATTCACAAGCAAGAGCAGATGGAGTTGAGTCAAGCAAGGTCACCCTGAAAGCCACTTTTCTGGATCTTATACTACATACTCTCAGTGCCCAAGTCTTGCATTCTCTCCTTTCAGTTTACTTCACTTGCTGAAACAAGGTTCTTCACCTAGAAGAGCAGTGGTAGCCATCAAGATGAATAGCTCCTCAGTTCTCTTCTACAACATGCCACAAGATGTTAGATAGCTTCTGGTGCTGGGGAATTCACTGCTCTGTAAGATGGGATACTTTTATTCTAAGATAATCAGCACTAAGACATCTTTTTGCTTTCAATTCCAAATTTGTCATCTTGTAATTTCCAATTCAGTTTTGCCATTTGTAGACCTCACTCAATTCTCCTATTCCATTTACAATAACACATTCTTTAAAAAAAAAAATTCTCTTTCATTATGTGTATGCTTGTTTTTCTGTGTGTGGGTATGTGCACACAGACACATAAGCATGCCAGAAGAGGGCATTGGATCTCTTGGAACTGGAGCTACACGTGGATGTGAGCTATCTGTGGGGTCTGGGAACTGATCTTGGGTCCTCTGCAAGAGCCGAAGTACCTTTAACCGCTGAGCCATCTCTACATCCCCAGGTAGTACATTATTGGTGATCGTGTCTAAAAGTGCCTAGGATGAGTTCACACCGACTCTTCTCTAGACCATTCACTGGCTTTATCATTCTTACTTTGATATAGTCTTGAGCAAAAATGTCTCATCAGAGTATTTGTCACTGCCTAGAATTATGCTAATCCTACAAGAAACAGGGCAGATTAAGAAAAAAAAAAAGTATCTGGCCTGTAAGATGGAAGTGCCAAGGCTAGAGAGATGACTTGCTGCTTGTGCAGAGGACCAAGGTTCTGTTCCCAGCACCCACATGGAGGCTTTCAATCATCCTAAATTCCAGTTCCAGGGGGATCTGAGGCCTTTTTACCCCCATAGGCACCAGGCACACACATACATGATATATATAATACACACAGAAAAACACTCTTACAAATAAATAGATCTAAAAATAAATGCTTTTTTTTTAAGTATCAAGGTTGAGAAACCCTGAGCTAATATTATCTAGGCCATTACCCTAATACACAGTCCTATGGCTTATCACTGCGAGCATAATGCTCAAAGTTTAGAAAGCACCTATAAGAATGGAACCATATTGTGAGGGCTGGAGGGGTGGCTCAGTGGGTAAAGCACTTACTGTGTAAGCATAAGGGCTGAAGTTCAAATCCCAGGAACCCTCATAAAGCTGCAAGTGGTTGTGCATACCTCTGAACCCAATGTTCCTATGGTAAGATTAGAGGCTGAGACAGGATAAGCTTGGGAGGTCCCAGGTGACATACTCAGGGGCAACGAGATCCAGTATCAAACAAGGTGGAACACCTGAGATGGTCCTTTGACCTTGATGTATGTGCTATGGCATTTGTAGGTCTGAATTTACACACACACACACACACACACACACACACACCACACAGAGAGAGGGGGGGGGAGAGAGAGAGAGAACACAGGCATATAGCTGTCCTCTCTCATATTGACCCTGAAAGCAGCTAAAACATCCACCATGCACCATGTACTCCTCTTCCTGTCAAGGAAAAGATGTTGTCAGGGAAAGCATCCAGGTTGGATTGAAACAAATTGTCCTTAAGCCAATGATTAAGATGCAAAAACAGAATTATAAAAACACAAATCAAACCTATAAGAAGGCAGAGTTCCCTCTGAGCATTTCCACAATGCTTTAATAATACAATTCATTTAGGTTTTTAACCATAAAGACACATGCATTTTTTGTCATTCAAATGTATGGTAAAAATTCTATTTCTAGCCGGGCGGTGGTGGCGCACGCCTTTAATCCCAGCACTCGGGAGGCAGAGGCAGGCGGATTTCTGAGTTCGAGGCCAGCCTGGTCTACAGAGTGAGTTCCAGGACAGCCCGGGCTATACAGAGAAACCCTGTCTCGAAAAACAAAAACAAAAACAAAAACAAAAAAAAAAAAAATTCTATTTCTATTTTCTATTTTCACCCAAGGCATTCATAAAATATTGGCGTTTCTTGACTTTTAGGGGAGGGTAAAGATGAGCTGCCAGCTTATGTTTACTCATGTAGTTTGAGAAAACTCTAGGTTGAGAGGGTTTTATTACCAAGCCCTACCATTTTTTTCAAACTGTTCTTATCAGTGGGGTGCTTAAATACACAGCTACTGTTCCCAGTACAGGTCTCCATTTATTACTTCCTAAAGCCACTTTTTACAGTCCAATAGCCTACATCTGGATATACAGTAGGCACATCAGACCCTTCACATAGCCAAAAACTTTCAATGTCCATTCCATTATCCTTCCATTTTAGTATCCCTCCAAAAAAGGAGACCCCCCCCCCCCCCGTATCATTCACCTGGTTGTCCAGAACAGTAATGAGCACAGAGGTAGAAAATATCATTGGAGGCAATTGGTTTAGACTGAGCTCCTAACCAATAGACCAAATCAAAATGGGTAGTGGACTAAGACACTCTCCCTTCCTCCTGGTATAGTTATCCTGGGTTTTAGGATGTTCTGTGAGGTCAAGCACACTAGCCGCTCAGAGCACTGAACTTGATGTTTCTTCTGAAACATCACTTTTGACCACACAGCGATATGACTAGGCCACTCACTTCATCTGGTGTCTTAAGACAGCAGCCTCTTTCAGAGGTCCTCCTTGATCACGGATCAGAGCTGCATCATCTCCATCACTAGTTTTCCTTTTCTTCACAGTATTTATCAGAACGTGATAGTAAATATTAGTAGTATATTTGTCTGTTTATCTTTCTGATTAGAATAAAGAAAACAAAAGTCTTTGTTTCATTTGTGACTTCCGGCCTCCTGCTCTCAACCCTTAATTCTTGGTACAGTACGCAACACACAGCCTAGACAAACTTTTGTTAAATGAATGGAATTCCATTTTCCAGCTTTTTGACTTTAACCCTGGCTCCCAGCATGCGTTCTTCACCGAACCAGATGCCAGACGGTGGGGACCAGTGTGCTGAGGTGAGAAGCAAACACGTCAGAACTGAGTTCTGGAGTCCAAGCAAAAGCCAGGAACGTATGAAGGTTCTCTGACTTTAAACTCAATCTTTTAGTCTGGGAAGATGGACACTCAGTTCACTAGCGTCTTGACAACTGCTTCAGGTACAGGAGGGTCACCTGACGTCACAGAGCCTTGGAAAATTCCGACCGGTCTCTAGCTACGCGCAGGCGCAACAGAGAGCTACCTGCGCAGGCGCACGGCGGCCGAGGACAGGCCCGGGCACACGCCAGAGAGCGGGCGGTCGCTCGCCATGGAACAGCGGTTAGCGGAGTTCCGGGAGGCCCGCAAACGGGCCAGTCTGTTAGCCCAGCCCTCCACGTCGAGCCAAAGCGTGCAGACCTCCGGAGCGGAGGCGGAGCCAGCGGCGGCGACCCCACAGACAGGCACGGGCTGGCTAAGACGCTTCCTGAAGTGGAAAACAAGCCCCGCCCCAGCGGTGGCTCAGCCCAACCAGCCTCAGGTGAGGAGCGAGGCCTGCACCTTGAAGCTCCGCCTCCGCGCGGGGCCACGCCCTGCTCCGCACAAGCCACACCCACGATTTCTGGCGCTCGAGGCCCTTCCTTGTCTTGTGCGCTCTCTCCTCTCCTGCGTGTTTGCAGGACACCGCATTTCCTCTATGTGTGTCAGCACATGATACGTGGCCTTGACATTTTCCGTCCCAGACACAGCCCTATGCAGCAACTAGTTGAAAACAGAAAGCGAAGGTCTAGGGATCTTGAAGAAAGAAACATCTCTGTTCTCTGTGCTCAGCGAGTTAATGACAGAGATGTGTGGCTTTGAGAAACTGAGTGATAAGTTATTTCTCCACTGGTGAAATAATCCGACTCAAGCCAGGTTAAAAAAAATGTATATAAATGCAGGTTTATTGGGAAGCTGCTTTTGTACGGATGACTTCACTGGACCCAGGAAGGAGGCCAGGGAAGTTGCCATAAGAAGGGAGAGAGAAAGAGAGAAGGGAGGAGAGAAAGAGAAGGAAAAGGAAGAAAGAAGAGGAAGAGAGAGAAACCAAAAAGTCTGGGTTATATAGTAAAGAGCTTGTGGGCTGGAAAGTTCGAGGTTGGGGCTGTGGTATGCCAGGTAGGGACTGAGATGCTTCAAACCTAGAGGCCAGGTCTGCTTTGGTATGTAAAATGTGCACCTCAATACCTTGTTCTGGGGTCTGAAACCAAACTCTGAGCTGCATCCACTGCTAGTGGAGGGTAAAAGGTCTAATTGGTTATGGCCAAAAGTGGCAGTAAATTAAAGCTGCACTTTATTCACACCTTGGGTAGAGGAAGCCAGTGTCTCAGGTAGCTTGTAGTTTAGAAATATAAGCTCTATGCAACTCTTAAAACCTTTTTTTTAGTTTGTTTTTTAAATTTGGACGTGGAAACAAAAAAGGGTTTGAGACTATGGCCATACTACTCTGAATGCAACTTGATTTCTGAAGCTAAGCAGGGTCTGGCCTGTGGAAAATGGGGTTTGACTACAAAAGTATGGCCACTGTAACTGCCTGTGGTGGTGTGCATAGCCTTGTAGGCCCCTCTTGGACTAGGGAAGGGTATTCGAGTTCAGTTGTGAGTGATCTAGGTGGTAAAAATGGGTTAGTATGGTAGCTCACTCAACTCTCTGTGGCTTCATATAGTTCTCACGCAGGAGTATCCTGGCAAGGGGACTTGCCTATATGATTGGAATGCCTCAGTGGAAATATGAAACACTCCAAGGAGGAAATCTGTGTCCTGGTTTGGTTTTTGTTGCTGTGATAAACACTATAACTGAAGCCACGTGGGGAGGAAAGGGTGTATTTTAGTTTACAGGATATAGACTTGCCTACAGCCACTCTCATTTCTCAATTGAGATTTCCTTTTCCCAGAAGATTCTAGTTTGGGTCAAGTTGACAAGAAATGAACCAGCACAACTATGCATTTCAGCAGTTACAATGCCTTAGTTCTTGTAACCATAACAAGAGCCAAATACATATATAGGGCTGGGTCTATGAGAAATCTAACGAGGAAATGGAGAATAGACCCAGTTTGACCTCTACACAGAGCAGACTTTTATTGGTCTGAGAGATTGGCATACCCAAACCCTGCTGCTCAGTACCTGAAGGTACAGGAGAACGTGCCATGTAGGGTCAGAGACCAGGAGAGCATGGCTTTGCCAGACCCAGAAACTGCTTTTCTGGATAAACTGCTTTTTGAAACTTTGGTGTGGGAGATGAGTCAGTTTGTTTGTTTAACCTCTTGGCAGCAGGTGAAAGATAAGTCAGTTTGCTTTTTTTGGTCTACCTCCAGAGTTCCAGTGCATGTTATAGGGGTGGACTGCTTTCTGGAATTCTATGGGTGGCAGGCATTTTGAAGTCTTTGCCCTGTTTTATGGCCTTGGTTTGGGGTTGGGGGATTTCCTTTAGTAAGGAAGGACTGTAATCCTAGCTACTTAGGAGACTGTGGCAGGGGATTGTAAATTCAAGGTTCAACTTTGACCCTGTTTCAAAATTAAAAAAAAAGTTTTAAGAGCTGCAGTTGCAGCTCAGTGGCAGGGTGCTTCTCTTCCATGTATGATGTTTGATCTCCAGCACCAAAGATATAATGGGAGCGTGAATAATCAAGTGCAGGGATAGAAATCAGTGGTAAAGGACTTGACCAACAAGTTCACTTCCCTAAGTTCCATCCTCAGGGCTACCTCCCAAAAATAAAGTGGCTGAGTAGAATGCATGCCTGTAATCATGCAGTTAGGAGCCTGAGGCAGGCAGACTGTGAACTTGAGGCTGGACTGCTACATAAGGAAGACACCATGTTGAAAACAAAGCCCCCCCCCCCATCACATTATACCAGGGCAGCTAAACTTGCTCACATTAAAATCATTTCCTGTGAGTTGATCTATTATTGCATGAGGGGTCCCTGCTCCCTGCTCCTCCCTGCTCCTCCCTGCTCCCTGCTCCTCC